TATATATACACCCGGTATATCATATACATCAAATTTTTTATGTTTTCTTTTATGCAGCTCAAACTCAACATACATGGAATCGAGTAGCCTACATTTAACATGAAAATAACTATAATTTTTAAAGCCTAATGACATTATACAATTTATAATTCACACCTACCCCTACATTAAAATTCAAGCTTTTATGATAAAATATAATTTGAAAATAGATGACCAGCATCTAACCCATCCAAAGCTTTAATAAGGAGCACGGAATATGACATCACGAACCTCCCCTTGACTCCACTCCGGAAATATAATCTTTCTAAAAGAGAATACCAGGCACTCTAAGCTACGCAGACAAAAAGATATTTTCATCAAACCAGCTGACAAAGATGGAGCCGTCGTTGTGTGGGACAAAGATCGGTACATCAAAGAGGCACACTGGCAACTAGAAGACAGCCAGTTCTACCAACCGAGGACCAACTACCCTATTACCAAAAATAACGACATGGTAGAAGAAACTATCAAGAAAATGATAGCAGAATCGGCACTTCCTACATCGGCCTCTGCCATACACATCTTTGATAGTGACCTCGGTAAGCCTCGTTTCTCCTCCCTAAATTACACAAGTACTGTAACCCTGTCAGACCCATTGTCTCATCATGCTCTTGCCCCATCGAACTTATCTCGGAATTCCTTGATGGAGTTTTTCAACCCATCGTAGCCTCACTGCCCACTTACATTAAAGACATCAACCATGCTTTAAAAACGTTCGAATCTATCATTATCCCTCCGGAAAAGAAACATCATCTATTTCGGCTTGATGTATGGTCTCTATATACTTCTACCCTCACCCCCCCCCCCCCCCCCCCCCCACACTGAAGGTCTCTAAGCTCTAAAAAAAATTCTCGAGACTAAACCCCATCCATCTTACCCACCAACATCATCCTCCGAATGGCGGAACAGGTTTTCACCCTCAATTCATCTGGTGGCCAATTCTTCGACCAAATCAGTGGTGTTGCTATGGGGACTGAAATAGGAACCAGCTACGCATGCGTGTTCGTGGGACATTTCGAACACAAGGTTGAAAGCAATTACACTGGGCGCATCCCTGAATTCTATAAGAGGCACATTAATGGTGGTGTTGGGTTCACCACTATGGACATAAGTGAACTTGACC